TGGAAATTGCTCCACATGGATTTCTACTACTACTAAAATTATATATATATATATATATATATATTAATAACATAGGCAATATATACAATGTGCATAATATATATTATACTTAACATATATAAATATTTATGTATTTATAGATAACATCTAATACATATCACATATATAAAGCACTACTAATAAGCAAATCGCCACAACTTGGGGTGTACGAACAGATATGCAAGTGCATGCAGCGCAGTGTATGTAGAGAGATTTTAATGAATATGTTTGTTTTAGGTGTCTGTACAGTTCAAGTGTTGTGTATTTTTTCTTGTATTTACTCTCGCATCTTCTGCTCTCCAGATACCAACAGAATTTGCATTATAAAGAAAAGCTGCCTCGCCAACATGATGAAAACTAACAGCAATATTCACTGCTGCATGCTGCGTAGGGTTTTGCTTAGGCACGCTAAACCCTAGGAGCCCTCGTTCTTGCTGCTGCTGCTGCTGCTGCGATGGGGGGCCCCCCCTAACTCCTGGCATTCGCCTCCCGTAGGGAGAGTCGTGCAGCACCTGCACCTTCAGCTGTCTGTACACCCCACCCTCTTCAAACCCCCAGCACCTTTCTTCATCCTGCTGCTGCTGCTGCTGCTGATGGTGCTGGTGTTGTGCTGCAGCAGAGCGTAGTGCTGCTGCTGCATCCTCAGGAAGCAATTCTTCTTCTTCTTGCATCAGCTTTGCTACATATATCCCCCTAGCATTTCTGGCGAAGATAAATTTAATAAAAGGGTGTTTATCATCTGTCTTTATCTCTAGAAGTCGCTCAGATATTGCAGATTCCTTAGGTTTTATGCTGTCTATCAAATCAGGTGCATGTCGAGCCTCTTCTTTAGAAAATATATTTCTTACTTCTCTCTCCCCCTTTACCTCAGCACTCATCGGGCACCAGCAGCAGCAGCTGCAGCAGCAACCATCCGTCTCCCTCCCGTTCCTGCTGCTGCTGCTGCTGCTGCGCCTCTGGCAGGGCCCCGACCTGTCTCCTGATGAGGGGCCCCCCGCCCCACGCGTCCACTGAAAAGTATTGGGGTGTATCTCCGCTATGCTGACTGCATGCAGCCCCAATGAACATCCAGCTGCATGCAAAGTAGAAGCCCCATAGTCTCTAACACCCTCGGCAGGCGATCCCCCCTCGTCATCGCTGCTGCTCCTACTCCTGCTGCTGCTGCTGCTGCGGCTTCTGCTGCTGCTGCTGCTGCTGCGCCGGAAGCGCCCAGCCCGCGAATCAGCGTGCCGACCCCGTCGCTGCTGCTTCCTCTGCTGCTGCTGCTGCTGGGAGGAGTATCTCGGAAGGTTTCTGGTGTATGCAACATCATCGAGGTGAGTATACACCGCAACAAGATCGATTGCGCTGTGGGCTAAGCCGCAGGGCAGCACGAGCAGTGGTGTTTTGTTATTTTCTTCTGCAATCTCCTGCAGCGCTTCATATGGAATAAACTCCTCAAGGATGGTGGTGCTACGTGCTGCTGCTGCTGCTGCTGCTGCTGCTGCCTTCTTGCCTTCTCCCCATATTGAATAAGGGTCTGGGTCTGTAGGGAGGCGTGCACTGCAGCAGCAGCAGCGCTGCTGCATGCATATTGCTTGCGGGTGTCTCAGCAACAGCTGATCAAAGCAGCAAACTCAAAGCAGCAAACCCCTACAGCATTAACAACCTCTACTTCTAGAGAGGGATTGCTGTTTTTCTTTGTTGCTCTTCCTAAGGGAAGAGATTTATCAACGCCTTTAAACCCACCTAAGAAACATGTTAATAAAGCGCTAGGCTCAGGGCCTCTCCCTCTATACACCACATTGCAGCCGCTGCTGCTGCTGCTGCTGCTGCTTAGTAAAGCTCCAGCACGATAAGACTCTCTCCAGAATGGAGTGTACGTACACTGCGAAGGAATGCCTGTAGGATATAAATGGGTACCGAACGGCAGACGCCGAGACCCCTCAAAACCCTCATACCCCCTAGAATCACACATAGACCCTAAGGAAACAATCAAGGGTTTAGGGTTTAGGGTTTAGGGTTTCCATTTCATTGAGGAGTGGTGCCTGGGCGGCCCCCTCTTTGCTTCCTAGCGGGGGGCCCCTTGATTGTTGAGGGGAGAGCAAAAGAAACCTTTTCAATACATTTAAATGGAGTTGTTTAATAAAGACCTACAATATAACAATACACAAGGAAAAAGAAGAAAAATATAAACCCCCTACCCCCCAGGGGGTGTACAGGGACCTCTCCTTGAGTAGAGGCCTTAGAAGAATTTATCACAGACAATACCAACTTAATTTAATTAAATTTAACTAAACAAAATTAAAAAAAAAACAAATGAGGAGACAACTTAAGACAGATCAAACGATAAACCATATAGAGGCCCTGCTGCGGCCCCTCGGTTTGTGTTATCTTCTAGAGGAAAGAATTATTTATTTATTTTCTTCTCTTTCATTATTATTATTATATTTATTATTCAAAAGTTTAAAATCTGCTGCTATATGAAGCAGGTTGGGGTCCCTAAGGCTTCAGTGTTACGGCTCCTCTGTCGATGCTGCTGCTGCTGCAGATCCAGAGAAGGTTTTAGGGTTTAGGGTTTAGGGTTTAGGGTTTTAGGGTTTATGGTTCACATGTAAGGGTTTAGGGCCCACATGTACGTGTTCACTTGCCAGGGTTTAGAGTTTAGGCTTTATGCTTTATGGCGTAGGGTTTAGGGTTTATTGTTTAGGGTTCAGCGCTAGGGACTAGGGTTTAGGGTTTAGTGTTTAGGGGATAGGATTTAGGGCTTGTGGTTTAGGGTTAGAGTTTAGGGTTTATATTCATCATATGCTTGGGGCTTTACCTTTTTCTTTATTCCTTCTTCTTTCTTGTTTCTAAGAGCCTAACATCAATAAAATGTACACGGCAGACAGAGCAGAAGATGCAATTCTTCTTGAGGAGCAGCAGAGCTGCATGCAGTGCAGCGACAGCAGCAGCAGTAGCAGCAGCAGCAAAAGCATCAAACCGCACATGCGCAGCGGCGGCGACAGCCGCAGCCGCAGCCGCAGCAACAGCAACAGCAACAGCAGCAGCAACAGCAGCAGCAGGCCTGCTAGCGACAAGCGTGGGGGCCCCCGGCCCTCCGAGTCCCCTGCTGCTGCTGTTTGTTTAAAGAAAAAGAAGAAGCAAAAAGAGTTTAATTGGGGGCAGCAGCAGCAGCAGCGCGTGCTGCTGAAGATAGCATACAATGGGGAAGCCTACGCGGTGCGTCAATTTTAAAAAATTACTTTTCCCTTTTATACTGACGGTGCATGCGGCAGCTAAACCTCTATATCATAAGCAGCAGCAGCAGCAGCAACCTATGCAGCGGTAGCAGCAGCAGCAGCAGCAACCTCTGCAGCGGTAGCAGCAGCAGCAGGAGCAGCAGCAGCAAGATCTGCAGCAATAGAAACAGCAATAACCGCCGCATCAGATGCACACGTAGCAGCAACGACAACAATAACTGGAGAGGTATCTGCAACAACAACATCTTCAACAGCAGCAGCAGCAGCAGCAGCAGCAGCACCGGCAGCAGCAGCAGCAGCAGCTGATGGTTTGTTTGTGCTGCAGGGTTTAGCAGCACAATCGGAGTCATCAGGAATTGCAACAGTTGAGGGGGAAATATTTAAAGCTCTAGAAAGAGCCTGTCTCATACAAGGAAGGAATACCTGGTCAGCCTAGGGTTTAGGGTTTAGGGTTTAGGGTTTTTTGCTGCTTTAGGCACCCTCGTCCTTTGGCGAGACTACAGTTTAGTGCTTGGCGTTTAGGGTTTAGGGTTTAGGGTCTAGGGTTTAGGGTTTATTATTTTTAGCTGCTGCAGGCGCACGGGTGTTTTGGAGGTTTTGTTTGCCTGCATGCGTTGCTGGGGGCTGTTACTGCTGCTGCTGTTGTTGCTGCTGCTGTTGCTGCTGCTGCTGCAGCAACTTTTCTCGGTGTGGACGGACAGACAAGGGAGTGCATGCAGCAGGAAATTACATTTCTTTAGATTTGCGGGTCTTGTGCGTCACCCTGCATCTATTGTTGAAACCCTCAGCAAACCCTAAACGCAAACCCTAGCCAAGACGCAGCTCAGGGCCTAGGGTTTAGGGTTTAGGGTTTAGGTGAGGTTTGTTGTTGTTCTGTGCGTTTTCTGTTCGTAGAAAAACAACACCAGAGGAAAAAGACGGTCGGTCGGTAGCTGCATGCAACCAGCTGGTGCTGCTTCTGCATGCAGCAACAGTTAATGCATGCACTTTGCAGCAGCCGCTGCTCGCTGCTTGTTGTGCAGCAGTAGCAGCAGCTGCTGCTGCAGCAGATGGTGGGGAGGGAAGGGTTTGCTGCTGCGGTTGCGCCGGTGTTGTTTTTCTTGTGATTTTTGTGTTTTGTTTGTTTGGCTGCTCTTCCTCCTGCTGAGATAGTGAATGTGCTTATTTAAACCTCTTCTGCTGCTGCTACTGCTGCTGCTGCCGCTGCTGCTGCTGCTTCAGGTTGTTGTCAGTCCTATGTTTCTCTCCTGAATAAACTGCTGCCTCCAGATATCCGCGTATTGGCAGCCACTCCCGTCCCACCCACCTTTGATGCTCGGTGGGTTAAGGGTTTAGTCTTTAGGGTTTAGGGTTTAGGGTTCAGGGTCAGTCTAGGGTTTAGGTTTAAGTATGTAGGGTTTGGGGCTTAGGGTCTAGGGTCCAGGGTTTGGGGCTGGAGTTTTACGATTTCGCGTTCAGTGTCTAGCGTTCAGCGTTTAGGGTTTAGGGTTTAGGGTTTAGGGTTTAGGCAGCGCCAGAGGTGCGAACATCCCAAAGCCGTAGATGAGGGCCCCCAAACCTTTTTCTTCAAATCTGCACGAAGCAATATCTCCCTGTGGGGCCTCTCCTTGGCTGAGCGGGAAAAAGCGACGGTCCTGGAGCCCTTCAGGTGTCTGTGTAAATGTGCATGCATGCATGCATGGGAGTATGTTAGTTGTTTGTTTATGTGTATTTGTGTGTATTTAGGTTTGACTGTTTATATCGGGTGTATAAATACTTTTTTAATGTGAAGGGGCTGGACTTGCAAAAGATGCAATTAGCTGCTCGTCGCTTTGTAAGAAGAGGCATTTAAATAAGTCTTTCTTTCTTTCTTTTCTTGTCTTGCCTTTGTTTAGTTTGTTGGGAACGGCAAATAAATCCTTTTAGGGCCGTACACCAGACAGAGACTGAGAAGAAGAAATGCTGCATCTTTTCTCTTCTTTGTTTTCTATTTCAATGGTTATAATACACTACTTTTATGTTGTTTTGCAAACAAAAGCAAAAACATTTACAAAGGCAATCGGTGGCCTCTCATTCCTGTCGTCTTTGTATTAGCATATCTATATGTGCATGTATACTGTCTACATACATACATATGTATGTATGTAATACATACATATATGTATATGTATATATACATATATAAACATATATGCATATATATATATATACATATGTAAACATATATGTATATATATATATATATATATATA